ATTGATGGAATGCAGCCACGGGCTCCCTTGCTGTCTAGCTTCCAGTTGAGCTTAGCCAGTATGTCTTGACAGATCTAGTGGAGGAAGGATAATGAGGGTAATAACTCCCTTACTGCTAGCTTGCAGTGGGTTGGCTATATCCCTATACCAAAACCCAAAGTCCTATCTGGCATGTTTCTTCTACATTCTATTCTCCTGGGGTTCCTGTAACTGCTCCCTCCCCTTACTCTTCAGTCCTAAGGCTAACCACCATTCCCAAATGTTGTTCACTCTAGAGCACTGCACATCTCTTGATAACTTTTTCTTAAAAATCATTTTATTGGGGGCTCATACAACTCTTTATCACAATCCATACATACATCAATTGTGTAAAGCTCATTTGTACATTCATTGCCTTCATCATTCTCAAAACATCTGCTCTCCACTTAAGGCCCTGGTATCAGCTCATTTTCCCCCCTCCCTCCCCGCTCATCCTCCCTCATGAACCCTTGATAATTTATATCTTACACTGTCCGACATCTCCCTTCACCTACTTTTCTGTTGTCTGTCCCGCAGGGAGGAGGTTATATGTAGATCCCAGTAATCAGTTCCCCCTTTCCACCCCACCCTCCCTCCACCTTCCCAGTATCGCCACTCACACCACTGGTCCTGAAGGGATCATCTGCCCTGGATTCCCTGTGTTTCCAGTTCCTATCTGTACCAGTGTACATCCTCTGGTCTAGCCAGATTTGTAAGGTAGAACTGGGATCACGATAGTGGGGGAAAGGGTGGGTAAGCATTTAGGAACTACAGGAAAGTTGTGTTTCATCGTTGCTACACTGCACCCTGACTGGCTCGTCTCCTTCCCGCAACCCTTCTGTAAGGGGGTGTCCAGTTGCCTACAGATGGGCTTTGGGTCCCCACTCTGCACTCCCCCTCATTCATAATGATGTTTTTTGTTCTTTGATGCTGCTGATAACTGATCACTTCGACACCTCGTGATCACACAGACTTGTGTGCTTCTTCCATGTGGGCTTTGTTGCTTCTGAGCTAGATGGCTGCTTGTTCACCCTCAATCCTTTAAGACCCTAGACGCTCTATCTTTTGATATCCAGGCACCATCAGCTTTCTTCATCACATTTGCTTATGCACCCGCTTTGTCTTAACCTTATCCACACCTCTGTAAACAGGCTTTCTTTTTCCAAAGTTACTATACTGCCAATTCCTCTTTTTTCTGCTCTAGGGCTTTTATGAAAAAGGAGGTTAGTAATTTACTCGAAAACTATGAACACATAATAGATGAAAAAAGAGATGTTGACCTATCAATGTAGACTTTATATTTACAAACCTTTATCCCATCTTCTAATACAGGTCTAATAAGCTAATCTCTTTAGAAAAAGAAATCAGCTCCTGGAAAAAAATTTAATATTCTATTGCATTGTTTTGCCTGCTGGTAAAACTGATGCTAGATAGAATATGAAAAAATATCCAACTAGATAAAGAATAGCAATTAAATGGTCAAGTATTTTTCAATATGAACATATACAATATATCACAATGAAATTATTACTACCAGTTCAGTGAACACCATCTCACTGTACCCTCTTCCAGTTACATCCCTATGGGAAACCATTCATTAGAAAGGGCAGCACAGTGATGTGACAAAGGTCCTTTAGTCAGAGACACTAGATGTTCGGCACCCTCATGCATTTCTTTGTTTACTTTATAACTTTAATTGTGATTTGGGTGAAACCTTAGAGAACAAATCACATTTCCAATCAATAATTCATACACATTTTGTTTCATGTTATTGCTTGCAATGCCCACAAGCATTCATCTCACTTCCTGTTTCTAGTTAGCCTCCTTTCCTAGCCTGCCTCACCCCAACATCCCCCAGCCTTCTGAACTTCATCTCTGGTCAAATGCTACTCTTTTTTATCTCAAATGGTTGGTTATTCTAAGGGGTGTACACCTCCCTGGCATTACTGTTCATCTCGTAGACCAGTATACTCTTTGGCTGAAAGTTGATCCACAAAGGGGAGTTCAGTTCCAGAGTTGAAGGATGACTAAGGGCCAGGTCTTAGGGGTTTCACCAGTGAACCTGGTCTTTTGCATGATTTTGAGTTTTGTTCCACATTTGTCTCTTCCTCTAGAAGGTCTTCCATTGTGATCCCTTTCTAAGTGGTCAGTAATGGTAGGCAGGAGACATCCAGTTCCTCTGGTTTTAGGGTCATGGAGGCTAAGGTTCTCGTGGTCTATTAGTCCTTTGGACTAATTGTTTCCCTGTGTCCTTGATTTTCTTCATTCTTCTTTGCTCCAGCCATGGATAGAGCACCTTAGATGGCCACGTGCAAGCTTTTAAGACCCCAGATGCTACTCACCAAAGCAGGATGTGGAACATTTCCTTTGTACCGATGTTAAGCCAATTGACCATGATATCCCTTCCCAAGAGTACAGCCCTGAGCCCTTAAGTCCAGCAACTCATTCCCTCAAGGTATTTGGGTTATGACTAAGTTTTCATAAATTTGCCCCCTGTAAGGCATAGCTAGTTCGATACTGCTTCACTTTTTGCACATAACAGAAAATGAAGGTCTACGGTCATCCTGTGTCAAGCAAGCCTACCACCATCACATGTGCTCCCTTTGTGTGTGTGTCACATCTTGGTAATTCTAACAATTTTTCAAACCTTTACATTATGCCACTACACACTTAATAAGCTACATGTACATACAATTTTTATATATGCTGGAAAACCAAAAAACTGCATGTGATTTTGTGGGGGGAGGTCAGATGCGCAGGCATTCCCCCACTGAGGGCAATCAGTTGCCAGACTGCTGTCTCATCCCTCCACAGGGGTGGGCCTGCTCCCTGCCTCTGGGGACAATGGACAGGCTCCTGTAGGCGGAGTTCGCATCCTACTGATAATGGTCTCTCTCAGTTGGGCCAGGGGCAGGCCAAACCAGCTGTCCCTCTTCCTATTGCATGTATACCCCTAGACCACCCCCTCATTACTGTGTAACCTATAGTGCAGCCCCTTCCTGTGACGTGTCTCTACCTGTAATTAGTGGGCTGGCTTGCCCCCAAAAGGTATATAGGTGTGAGTCAGCAATATAGATTGCTCTGACTCTGAGCTCCTTGCTGCTCACTCCCTGGTCACTCCCCTCTCCCTTGTTCCCTTCCCCGCCTTCCCTTCCCCCTCTCTCCACGTGGACCACCAAGCTGGGCTGAGGTGAGCAATGCTACCCTGTAATGTGTCTGACTGTATTATTGTAATATCTCTCATGCTCTCGATGACTCTAATATAATACTTATATATCTCAACCGTACAATTGTGCATTACTGAATCAGAGTAGTAATAATAGTAGTAGCAGCGGGTGGGGCTGGCACCCCAACCCCCCAGCGTCATTTTTTAATTTAATAATACATGATTTGCCCCATCTTCCTCACTGTCTAACACATAATCACCATGCCTCAAAGGGCTCCCTAGGACAGGGGTGGGGAACATTTTTTTCTGCCAAGGGCCATTTGTGTCTTTATGAAATCATTCCTGGGCCATACAACTCAAGCATTTAACTCACTCCTGAGAGAGCCCTGGTGGCATAGTGGTTACTAGCTGGGTCAACAATTCAAAACCAACTGCTGCTTTGCAGGAGAAAGATGAGGCTTTCTACTCCTATAAACAGTTTTAGTCTTGGAAACGCAGGGCAGTTCTACCCTGGCACATCAGGTCACTATGAGTTGGTATCGACTCGATAGCAGTGAGTTTGATTTGGAATGTTAAGTGCTGGAAGTATTTGTCTTTGGTCAGGTATGCAATGTTAGGTGGTATCGATGATTTCACAGGCTGTATATGACCCAGAGGGGTCAGATGTTCCCCAGCCCTGCTATAGAAAGTAGTTCTGCTCACTAACTCTCCTTGGTTCCCATGTTACCAACTTCATTTTTCTGGGCTTAGTTTCTGCATCTATAAATTTAGTGAGTTGAACAAGATAGCTTCTTAGGACCTTTCAGCTCTACATGGCCATGATTTGGGCTCAGAGAATAACGTGATTATTTTCTTGGAATACCACAGGGCAAGTAAAAAATTTCACTGTAATAACCCATCATTTTGTTGGGCAAAGGACTGATATATGGGAACCTTTGGCTGAAGATAAAATTAGGACATTAAGGGAATAAAATTAACAAATATACTCAAATGTCCTACAGAGTTGTTTATTAGGGAACCCAATGTTTCCTCTGGCTGCCCTTAGTTGATGTGTTACTCTCCTGGCTAAACATAATCTCTATTACTTCACTACCCAAAGGAGAGATCAGAAGCATGTTCGCAACCCAAAAGGTTAAAACTGTTAAAGGAGAGCATACACTTTGTGTTCTGTGTTTCTAAGTGTTTGCGGAACTCACAGGGAACTAAATCACAGTGGCTGAATTCTCTTAGCAGGTCAAGCTACTGAATTATATGCAACCTTCAGGACCCAGGGATGGACTTGGGAACAGGTGAGTGAGTGAGTGAGTGAGTGAGTGAGTGAGTGAGTGAGTGAGTGAGTGAGTGAGTGAGTGACAACAAGGACAAGGAACAGGGAAATAGAAAGAAGTACAAAGAAGTGAATTCCATTCGAGGAAGGCACCCCCTCAAAAAGGATGTAATCCTTTTTCTATCTTAAAACAGTCATGTAAAAGAAAACTGAGGAAGCTTTGTGCAATAAATAATCTCTACGTTTTGCACACGGTAATATGCATAATCAACAGGCACTGTTGAGTCTTAATGGTAAGCAAGTGCGTGATCTTTCAGCTCTAAAGTGACAAAATGATGATGTTTTTTAAAGGACTTTTCAGTAGAAAATGATAACAATTCGTACTTGATTTATCTAAGTGCATGTCAATGAATGCATATATAAATGTACCCACTTCCTCAGAAGCGTCAACAAACATAAATGCATTAACTGACTCACTACATGAACACTGTTGAGTTAAAAAACAAGCACACGCAGAACCTAAAAAGAAAACAAAACAAAACACCTTACCTTAGATGAGACTATTCTGTTATCACAAAATCTTTGTGGAATGTAGGATTCTGTTCCTGAAACTGGATGATTGCTGACGAATACTGTGCGTGTACCAACTCGCTGCTCTTCCCCAGCACACTGCCGAAGATAAAGAGGGGAAAAGTCAGGTTTTCATCACATCTCTCCAGGCATCTTCAGAGCTCAGAATTACTGTCTAAATCTGTTTGGCAGTCAGGAGAAAACCTTGGTAGGGAATTCAAAGTTCACCTAAGTCTTGGTTGCTGGATTATAGTGAAGGGTAGTAAAAGTGTAGCTTGAACCAGTTGCGTAGAAGTCCACACCACAATTTGAAAATGTTTAAATTAAATATCCACGAGAAACTGTTGTTATTGTTGCTGTTACTGCCACCAAAAGAATGGTGGTCACCATCATCACAGCAACACATCAACTCAGAAAAAGGCCAGAAATATCGCACTGATCACACAACTCCTGGGGACAAGCTGTCACCTACCACTCAAGAAAGCAGAAAGGTTGGATGAAATTTTCTTCTAAACATAAAATAATTACTTATTTTATGGTTGGAAATAGAACAGCTGTCTTTATTATATAATTAATATAGCTACAAAGAAACTTTGTAATTCTTTGACTTTATAGAAGAGATTTCTTTGTCATCTCTAAGTCTTTTGTCATATTGTCATTTCACACCCCAAACCAACCAAACCCACTGTCAACAAGTCAATTCTGACTTATGGTGACCCTACAGTATGTGGAAACTGCCCCTTTGGGTTCCCTGGGACCTTTCTCCTATAGAATGACTGGTGGTTTCAAACTGCTATCCTGATGGGGCAACCCAACGTGCATAACCACTACGCCTTTCATTGAACTGCTAACCACAAAGCCAGCAGTTCGAAACTACCAGCTGCTTCACAGGAAAAAGACAAGGCTTTCTACTCCCATAAAGAGTTCTACCCTGTCCTATGGGGTCGCCATGAGTCAGCAGCGACTCAATGGCAGTGAGAGTGAATGAAATCAACTGGATCTAGAAAGTCCAAAGATTGGGCTCACCATCTCCTATCAGTGAGGCTTCACTCTGGTTTCTTATCATGAATAAGGATAATACACTGTCTTAACTACCTCCTACCCTAGAGATGAGCCCAAATTGGGATGGTGTGTAATGTACCTAACATTTCTTGGGAAGAAGATAATGTATACATTTGAGATAGTCTCCTCTGATGAGACTATCAGCTCATATTGGAGACTACAAAATATGTAAATCACATTAAGCAGGCTAGAAACCAAAATCCATTTATATATTTATTTTTTCATATTTAAAGGGGGTTATTAGGGAAGATAACAGGTTACCAAAAGTCAGGATCAGCAAACAGTAGGGTACAGTCATTGGTCTCCTCAGCCAGGAGCCAAGTCTCAAGCTTCTTAGCTTCTTGGCCTCATGGCAGCCAAGTATGTCACTGCTTCTTAGTTTCTCAGTGATGTAATCGCTTGGCATTTGCCTCCATAGACCAGGAAGCAAGCCCATCTGTCCCTCTGTCCTATGGCTCCATGGTCTCAGGCCAGATGAGGAGAAGGCACCCCATAGTCTCAGTGCTGCTCTTCTGAGCTTCCATGCCACAGTCTGTAATGCATCTGGACTTGGCAGCCTCTACAACCTCACACAGAGATCTTGGATGTGCTTTTCCAAGGTCCTCGGGGTTAATCTCTTCCATACAGCTGCTTCCAAGATGGCTCATCCTTACAGACATCATGTGGTAGTAAAAATTGACCAATCCCTTCTATTAGTGTTACCCATACCATATTTGGATAGTCCTACCCAATCCTTTCCACTACTTGTCTGTCAGTTTGTCACAGTTGTGGTTTGTTGGCTTGTAGGATGTTGGAAACTAAGTCACTAGCATTTTACTATATTTTTAATCATTTTATTGGGGGGGCCTCTTACAAATCTTATTAAAATCCATCATTCAATTATGTTAAGACATTAAGTATATATGTTGCCATCAACATTTCCAAAACAGTTTCTTTCTATTTGAGCCCTTGGTATGAGCTCCTCTTTCTTTCCCCAGCCTCTCACCCTCATGAATCCTTGATCAATTATATATTACTGCTATTTTGTATCTTACATTGTCTGTTGTCTCCTTTCACCCACATTTCTGTTATTCGTCCCCCTGGGCGGTGGGGCTGCTATATATGCAACACCTTGTCATGAGTTCCCCTTTTCTCCCCCTCCCCTCCCCCCACTGGCTCTCTCTTCCCCATACCCTCATGATATCGCTACTCTCACTACTGTTCCTGAGGGTTTTATCTGACCTAAAGTCCATGTGTCAAAAGCTCTTATCTGTACCAATGGTGTACTCCAGTCTAGCCAGATTTGTAAGGTAGAACTGGTCATTGTACTAGACGGGAGGAAGCATTCAGGAACTAGAGGAATGATGTGTTTTGTTGGTGCTATACTGCACCCTGGTTGAATTGTCCCTTCCTTGTAACCCTTCTGTGTGTGTGCAGGGGTGGGGGGGGTGGGATGTCCGATTGTCTTCAGATGGGCTTTGGGTCTCCACTCCAACACCCCTCTTTTACATAGTTATAATTATTTATTTTGGATCTTTTGATACCTGATCTAGTAGATATCTTATGATCACACAGGCTGGTGTGCTTCTTCCATATGGGCTCATTTGCTTCCCTGCTAGATGGCTACTTGTTTAACTTCAAGCCTTAAGACCCCAGATGCTATATCTTTTGATAGCTGGGCAACACCCACTTTTTTCACCACATTTGCTTTTGCACCCATTTTGTCTTCAGCGATCATTTCAGGAAGGCGAGTATCAAAGAAGTGCCAGGTTCTTGTGTTTAGGGAGTCCTTGAGTAGAGCCCCAAAGTCCATCTGATGTCTTAATACTTAGCATATAAATAAATGTACACTGGCCTCTATCCCTTTCATTACAAATCAGTATATTTACATATATACATGCCTATAGTTATACCTCTATAAATAGCTTTTGCCTCCTAGTTCTTTCCTCTATTTCCTTTCACCTTCCTCCTGTCTCACTATCATGCTTACCCTCCATTCGACTCTCAGTAATTCCTCTTGGAAACATTGCACTTGATCAAACACCACCAGGCATTATACTCCCTCCTCGCCACCAATTTTAGATCTCTTGTTGTTCCCCTTATGCCTGAATTTGTTGCCTCCCAGTCCCCCCGCCCCCTCCCCTCCCATGTTCCCCCAGGACCGTCGGTCCTGTTGTTTTCTCCTCAGGATTGTTTGTCTTATATAGACACAGGGTGAAATAAAAAGGCAAGATAAAATAAATGATAGTTCCAGATCTGTCTGCTGATCGTTTATGAGTGTTTTCCAATCGGGTCTGATGAGGTGCCAAGCCCTGTCCCCAGAGTCCGAAGACTATTTTCAGGATTCCTTGGGGACTTGGTTACTTTGCTCCCTTTGCTGCCATTGCACTCCCCTGGCATTTCACCCTGCTGTGCATGGGACACACTGGGCACACTTTGTGCAGTGTCTCTAGTGCTGTCTCCCTTAGTGGTATGGCTCAGTGAAGGAATGTCCTGTCTCAAGGTGGGGCCAGCCCTATGGTCCTCTCTGTGCATTGGCTGCTTCGAGCAGGAATGTTGTCCCGGGGGTAGGGGTGGGGTGGGGGGGAGTATAGGTGGGGGTTGGCGGGGGTTGGCTTGGTCGGCCATCATGCAGTTCTCTCTCTCTCTCCCTCTTAGTTTGCACCCGTGTGATGTGGACAGACCAGCCACTCTCCCTGGATTATGTCTTCAGTGATGTCCTCTGTAATACATTTTCTGGGAAGGGAGCCATTTATATATTTCCATTATTATTTTGGAAAGGATTATTCCCCTAACTAAAATGTCCCGATGAGGCCACATAGATTTTCCTTTCTTTCAATAATCTATTTTAAATCCAGATACTTCATTTCTTGCCCCCCCCCCCCACCAAATCATCATTTCAAGCAAGACTACTTATGGCTTGCAAAGTTCTCTAAACATTTGCTATTTTTGGATGTGGTCCCATCTAAACTTTTGTACCTTATGTAGATAGCATCTTTTAAAAAACATTTTAGTTTAAAAAAATGGAAATCACTGAAAATTATAGACAACATCTTTTGCCTATTGTCATGCAAGCACATAGAAGGATAATTTAGTAGGGAGTCACTGGAAAATTAATATAAAGGGTAACTTCTAGGAATCTGCCCTGACACTGACTAAGGGAGCTTATGGGGTACTACCGAGAGCCATATGAAAAAGTCAGTGAGTTTCTGTGCTGGCTAACCTATTTACCTGCTTGCTCGAATGCAGGCATTCTAAAACGGATTGTCCAAGGTCCTTTAAAGGGCAAGAATCAGTGGTGACCAGGGAAATCTTCAGAGACTCCTGTGGTAGATACATAATTTTATGGTCAACTCGCGATTATAAAAGTGTAAGGATAGCATCGAACCTGTCAATCAGATAGCCTAATGATGTTTTCTTGTAGGCGTGGTCTTCTCATAAGGAGGGCCCAGGGAACCATGATTCTCTTTGCCTTCACCTTGGTGCTTGCAGGCCAACCTCAGAGCTGCCTGTCATATTTTGACTGACCTTGGATCCACATGACTTTGCACCCACCAGTCTGTGATCGTCCTGTATTTTGCATCATTGCCTGTGACGGGGTGAGACTTATGGACTATTATTGGACTTAGGGACTTCAATTGGACTGAGTTGGGATGCCTTATTGATATATAATTACTTTTGTGATATAAAGTTCTTTCTTACACATAGATGAGTGTCACTGAATTTGTTTTTCTCGTCAACCCAGCCTAACACAACTCCTTTGAAAACCAGTAATGACCACCTTTTCTTATATACTATTAGAAGCTATATACATTCAGATTCAGGAGCTTATTTCTGTATTTTCACTAGCATTACAGGGGGTCTGAGAGCATGTAAAGTTTCCATGATATATATTTTGCAAAGCTTAAACCACATGGGGTAAAAAAATGTATTATTTACTCTGATTGCCCCTCTTTTGTGTCAATCATGGCCATTGATTAATGTCATCTCAACTGTTTTTAACTCCCTTCTCTGCATCCAGACAACAAAGGGTAAGCAAAAGTAGAATGCTTTTTCTC